CCGAGAAGGGCACTAGGCTATTTGCATCCTCAACGGCTGCTGCTTCTCCAAGGAAACGGGCGCTCTGACAGTGCAAATGTCGATTCCTGCAGTTTATACAGCTTAAAAGACAACATTTCTCTACTAAAATAAACCCTTATATTTTTTTTCTTTCTATTCATTTCAAAATACATTTACAGTAACATCAAAAAATACTCGCTTTGTGCATTTTTCTCTCCTGAACGCCAGGCTGCCCTGCTCCGAGGCGAGGTGATGGCAAGGATAACGCCGCGCAGGGGACGCACCGGGGCGGCCGCAGCCGTCCAGCCCTTGCTCAGCCCCGCGAGCCCCTTTTCTCCTCTCCATCCCCCCCGCCCCCTGTTCCTCTCCCCGGGTTTGACATGCCCCACAGCCCCCTTTAGCTTTCCCCACCTAAACGCCGTCTCCCGATGGCAAAATACGATGCCTGACGTTTTGGGAGCGTTTCAAACCGTTTTATTGCCTGGTGCTGGCGGCGCCGGGTTGGTTGTTCTTTAAAGTCTCCCCCTTTTTGCTTTCCTGTACTGAGAAGACACGTAGTGCAGAAGCTGATGAATGGAGCTGTGTACAGTGAAATTTGTGGATTGCTTTTTTTTAACCATAATTGAGTGAAGCACACGGAAGCAAGATTCATTAAAAGGCAGCATATTGATTATTGTTATGACTCTTATACTAGGATACTGTAGCTAAAGCTAGCAAGCCTGATAAGATAAACTAAGTCCTATTTACTGTATTTAACATTATCTGAACATACTGAGCCTTAATTAATGAGCAGATTTTCATTTCCAACCTCGATGGATTATGCTAATTTATAACAAAGGTGTTTCCCGTTTTGTTGATTTTTCTGTCGGTTGGTGTGGTGGTTCGGTGGTATTTTTTTCCTGCTAATAACTCGTGTAACATTTTTCCCATCTGAGGAAGATTCCTCCCCAGGCACGGTCAGTCTCAGCTGGGTTAGTGTTGGGCTTAGCCAGGGCTGGGTGCAGGCGCTCAGCATCCGACCCGAAGCCCCCGCCGCTCGCCATGCCTGGGATGAGCTAGGCTGTCATCGCTTATCTCTGCTGCAATTTTATCAATACTTAAGGACTTTGGAAGGCTGATAAAGATGATCTACTCTAAAACATCGATTGAAGGAGTCTCAGAGTTTCAAAAGAAAGCTCACAGTGAAATGAGCAAAAAGCATCAGAAATCAAAACGGCAGGATGCGGTCTCGGAGCAGCAGCATCCCTCGGAGCAAGCTTGGAACCTAACGCCGCAGCAGTGTGTTATGAGTGTGTCTTTAGTCCTTGGTTGCTAAATAACTTCCAATTTTTTTCGTAATGACAAGTTTCCGGTTTCTGGCTGTGCTGCTTGACTGTCAAAATATTCTTTGGCATCCACAAAACTATTTGACTGATTGGTTTGACAATTGCAAGGTTTTTTTTGTTTAGTGATGGGTTTAACCGGTTGCAGAAGTGTCCCAGGTTTGGTTTTTTTGTTTTTTTATTTTTTTAAAACATTTTTTATTTTTAAAAAACAACAACAACAAAAGTTTCAGTGAATTCCTTTTTTTTTTTTTTTTGTTCCCTGAGCTCACACTGGGGTCACTCCAATAAAACACGTAGCACGACTTAACTGTGACCTTTGAAGCCAAAACCGAAGTAATGGTGCAATTAAGTGCAAACATGGAAATTCGCCTGACTTGTAGGTAACATGGGCTTTTAAACAACATTTAAGGCTTATTGGGGACATTTTATGCATTAAATTATTGTAATATTTATAATGTCAGCTTCTGTGAATCACTCTCCCACAACGAGTCAACAGCTTGTAACCAGGATTTAAAATAAAAAAAAAAAAAAAACCAACAAAAAAAGGATGGGGAGGAACAAATTCACCATTTCCACTGTAGCGTTTAGTAGGAAAACAAAATGGTGAAGGCAAGCGTTTCCATTTCCCCTCGGTAACGGTACGTTTGGCCTCGGGGCCAAGCGTTTCGTTGTGCAAAGGGGATTTCAAATGCGCCGCCCCGGCACGGTGGGACCACGGCGGCCATCGGAGAGAAGCACAGGCAGAAAAACTTCACTCAGCCTCCCGGGTTAAACCAGCTCTGACTCCCCACAGTGTTTTTAAAGGATGTTTTTCTCTTCCATCCTGCCCCACACTTCCATTTTCCAGCTTGCTGACAGCTTATCAATTCACCTGAGTAAATCACTTCAGTTTTCCTAACGACCTCAACGGGGTCGACCCATGGGGCAGGGACGGGGAGAAATTTTGCATCCCGGCCCCTGGACGGATCCTGACCAGATGGAAAGGTGAGGGGAAAAAATAATGACTGAGAGGTTTTTGTTTTTTTTCCCCCTAAAAATAGAAACGTAACGTTGCTCTCTTCCACCCCAAGCGCTTTCCTCCAACAAGCTTTTTGTGCTTTAGTCATTATTTATTTTAGTATCGCTTATTTTGCCTCCTCCTATACGCGCGCGCAGGTAGGTATTTCCCCACGTGCAGCTGGCCGCTCCTGTACCCTCTGCTCGCTCCCTGCTCTGGGGGCAACCATCCCAGGCAGAAGTCTGCCCCTCGTTAAATAATGCCCATTAATTAAACTGTCATCCCTGCAGAAAGCACGGGTACCGGCACCCTCCGTCCTCTCGGCACCCTCGGCATCGGTCCTGCCGGGATGCTCGCGTTCCCGGGAAGCGGGGTCCGGTGGGGAGCTGGGGAGGGACCACTGCTGTCACGGTCATCGATGTCGGTGAAGCTGAAGCTGTATCTCAGGCGTATAGAGAAGAGAAAGACAACAGTGCCGAATTTCCAACTATATACACATATTAAAAATCCCCCTTGCTATGATACCAGGCAGAAATCGGACATGGCAGTTGTAACTGGGTTGAGGCCTCGTCGAGCCGGCGCGGTCGGGAGGAGTTAGGATGCCAGGATGCTCATCCTGACGATGTCCTCGCCGGCTGCATCCAGCTGGCCCCGCTGTGCCCTGCCGCCGCGGGACTCCCCGTCCGAGTCGCTCATCTCTGCGTCGGAGAAGTAGCCGTCCGTCTCGGCGTCGAAACGACGCAAGGGAGCTCCGCCGGCGCCGTCGGGCTTGGGGGGCTGCGATCTCCGAGTCCCTCGGCTCTCCTTTGGTAATTTGAACCGCACGACGGTTTTGGGGCTACCTACGGAGTCAGGCACTTTGGCCGCGGGGCTGGGCTCTGGCTGAGCACAGCGCGGCGTCTCCTCCTCCTTGCTGACGCAGCCCCTCGCCCCGGCCGGGGGGTGAGGCTCGCCGGCTTTTGGGACAGAGCCCTTCTTGGCCGCCTTTTTGGCCTCACCTGTCCCTTTGCGGTCGGTGGGAAGCTTTGCCGTCCCTTTCTCCGACTTGCTCGGTCTGGAATCGGGAGCGAAGGGCTTGGTGGCATCATCCGACAAGTCGCTGGCGTTGTTAGTCCAGGGCTCCGAGCTCTCTGGGTGGCTCCCACCCACGGCGGGGGGGGCGCGCCCCCCCACGGCGGGGGGGCTGCTCCTGGGCAGCTTTTTCTTAGTGTTCGTTCTCGTTTTGCTTTTCACTTTCTTTGCGGCCTCGCTCTGCTTGAACGGGGACCTGAGGGAATGGTCCATCATGAAGCTCAGCAAGGTCTCCTCGTCCTGGAGGAGCTCCTCGGAGAGGCCGGGGGTGCTGTCCTCGTGGTGGGCGTTGTTGAGGGACCACTCGCTCATCGCCATGTTCTCGGCGGTGATCTGGACCGACTGCGCCAACCAGCTGTTGAAGAAGGTCCCATCGATGGGGAAGGAGGTTGATAAGCCTGGAAAAAAAACAGAAGTGTAAGATTGCCTCAGGAGCCGGAAACAGACACGCTGCCCCTTGACAACGCCACCAACTTAACCGCAACTCCCCGGCACCGGAGAAACACTCAAAAGGTCAACCATAACGCACCACACCAGGGCACAGCAGCGGGTTTACTCCAGCACTAATGCTGAATTTGGGGTCCACTGAGGTCACAGCACAACAACCCGAGTGGTTCCCACATCCAACACCCCGCAAACCTCCCCGAATCTAAACGGAGCATCTTTCTGCAGCGAAGATGCCAAGCCCCAACCCACCCCAGCATGAGTGGAAAATAAATTCCGGTGCAAAGGCAGCAGGACCACCAACCCAGGTGTGAGCCTCAAAATTCAGCAGCTGCTACCAGAGCGGGACTTGTGCCCAGGCGAGGGGTGACAGGTTGCCCAGGGAGCAGCTGCCACCATGCCACCATGCCACCATGCCACCACGTCCTGCCAAAACCCCGGGCACCACCTGAGCCAGGCGGTCAGTGGGGCGATGGGACCGGTGCTAGATCTGTGTGCAAAGGCAGGGAGGGAGGGAGGCAGGTCTAAGAACATCTCCAAATACTCGAGAGGTGTGAAAATGAAGAGGAGCAGAGATGACAGGCTGGAATGGAAAAAGCTGAAAAACTTCCTAACAATTATGTCTGAGAGCAAGGGTGAGCATTTTGGGCTGGGCTTGCTCCCATTAGCAAGTGGAAAGGCGCATACCTGCACAAGCACACCCAATCTCAATCCCCCCAACAGAAACCCACGGGTTCAACATCAGAGCTGGTTTTCTGGATGGAGGAAAAGTTGTTTGATTTTTGTTTTCAGGTGAGAGCTTTCCTTTTAAAGCAGTCAGCCTAGCAAAGAGAAGAGGAAAAGAGCAGTGGCAGAGGCACGGCAACTCACATCCGCAGTGTTTGCCGGTTTCAATTACGGCTTTGCATCACCCTCCCCTGTGAGCAGCGATACGGGCCGTGACCTCACGCCTCCACGCTGCGTGGACGAGCGACCACCGCAGGGGCACAAACGAAACGCCCTGCGCAATGCCAGGGCTGCTCAAGGGCAGCACTGGGGAGGGTCATCAGCTCGGATTTCCCCCTCGGAGGTGACACTGTTGAGGTGACCATCCCACAACTCCTGGCAGGTCACCTCCCAATGCAGGGGAGGGGAAGCAGGAGCAGGGATGAGCTTAGGGCATCGTGTGGTACCCAGGCACTGAACAGCCCGAAGTCTTGCCGGCAAGGGCACTGCCAAGGTCACCTTCCCCCAGCCCTTCTCTGATGACTGCAGCCCCAAGCGATGCTTCAAGCCCTTAACAAAATCCAGGAGGTTCCAAGACCCTGGTGAAGCTCTGGGTCAGCTGCCTGGTTTCCCAAGCTTGCAGCAGTGCAGTTTTTCCCGGAGATGCCCCAGTCCTCCATCATTTGACAAATATGCTCCAGAAAATGTAAAGTTTCTTTAGCGGAGAACAGTGCAGAGACAGGATGAGCGCAAAAGCCCCATTTCCAAAGGGACCTCTGCCTAAAACCCAGCAGCTTTGAGATGAACAGAAAGCAGCTGGGGCGAGCAATGGGCAAAGCAAAGCAAGGCAGGGTGCCCCACATGCCCAGACCTCCCACCGAAACTCTCTGTACCCCCAGGAGGATTTTATAGCACCCTCAGACTGTCGGAGAGCCCCACGGGACTGGCGCACGCTCTGTGCACATGTGGGACAGCTGAGCACGCACAAACTCATCACCTCCTACCCCGCATGCTGGCGGAGGTGACAGCGCCGGAGGAAATCAAACAAAAACCCAGTTCCATACAAAAATCATATGCAGTTGCCAAGGATATCGTCAAAAAAGACCTTTTTTGTTCTGGTTTTTTACTCCCCCTCCCCAACCCTCGTCGGCTGCCGAGCGGCGGTAGGTTGCAGCTGATGGGGAAGAGCCAGAGGTGGGTGAAGCATCCGCAGAGCCAGCCCGCATCTCCTTGCCCCCCAAGCAAATTCAAGAGCGCAGCCACGCTTTGTGCCTGCCTCCTGGATGCTCCCGGACCGCCCGCACAACCAGCACGACCGCACGGTCCTGGACAGTACATGCCATGGAAATGCACAGCCCATGCACTGCATTCACCATCGGTGCGCAGCACAGAAGATACGGGGGATGAGCCCTACTGCGGGGTGAGGAAGACTGATTTTATCACCGGAAAGTGGAATCACTCTTCAGCAGCACATCACAGGTTCTGTAACACATTCTCCTAATCCAGACACAGGCCCTGGGGCTGCGGGGTGGGGTGGGGGGGCGGATTTTACACCCCCTGCCCCACCAGGGATCACGTCTCCGACGCAGTCCCTCCCGTAGGAGCTCGGTCATTCAGGCTGGTGCCCACGAGGGACAGATGGAAGAGGCTCCCATGGCCTTGGGCGTAACTCCACCATGTACGTGCAGGAGGGATCAGGGGCTGGGACTCAACCCTGCTCCCCAAAACCAGGAGCCTCCAGCGGCATGGGTCAGCTCTGCACCCATAAAATCCGACTTACCCAGTTGTCCCAATACAGTTTCGTTGACTGATTTCCTTTTCTCTTTCTTCTCAGGACTATTTTTTCTACCATCTCTTCCTTTCCTTCTCGGGTCACTTTTCTTACCCTTTGTCTTCTTCCCAGTTTGTTCTGGCATTTTTTAGAAAAAAAGGAAAACTCCGTGTGAGACGAGGCATCAGGGATGCTGCGGTGAGCCAGTTCCCCTGGGGCACACCCCTGCGGTGCAGACCTGGACCAGACCTGCAAACAACTCCAAGCCAAAGGGAGGACAGCGGCCACTTCTTGGCCAGCTGTAGGCTAAAGTCTCTATAGCGTAAGAAAAATCTGAATTCCGTAGGTTGTATAAAAAAGAGGTTTGGGCCTTGGCCATGAACTTAACGCGGCTACAGGAGCAGTCCCACCGAAGGCAGGGGACTCGCTGGAGACCCTCCAGCCACCAACGTGCCCTCCTGGACCGGGGCTTTGGGGCGAGGACCTGCGGGAGCAGCAGGAGTAACCCCAAACCCTGCTCAGACACCTTCCAGGAGACGTGGGGACCTCCAAACCCAGCGGCGTGTCACCCATCACCGACAAGAGCATCTCCTGGAGGGATGCAGCTGCAAAGCCAGTTTGACAGCAACGGTACCGGCCGTGTTTTAAAGCAGACCTTGATCTGATTTGACCTTTCGGCGATAGCCACTGCTTGCACTCACACTGTACGGGGGTGAAAAAAACCGAACACGGCTGTAAAACTTAAGCAGTGTATTGAACATAAGTAAATGGAGTAGGAAAGATGACCAGCATTGCCTATGGAAAGCCAGGGATATAACTCTTAGCTATGGAGACATTCAGCTAAAAATCAATATTTCCTAAATGGCTTTGAACTTCTACTGGATTTATTCCTCTTGGGTAAACAGGACAAATACCCTATAAAAGTACGACTTGTATTGCCAAGTGAAATACTCCCAACAGTTTTTACTTACTCTGTTAGGTCACTCTCCCAAAGAAGTCCATGCTAAAACTTCTATTAATTTTCAGAGGGGGGGGGAAGGATATTGCCCCTAAACCAAAACGTGAGTGGCTGAGGGATGCCGAGGCAAGACATGCAGTTGTTCGGTCTGGCCCCTGCACGAGCTGTGCAGCTATCGGAGCAATGGTTTTAAGAAACGAAAGAGCAGCGAGGCTGCGGGCTGGATGGGTCAGAGGGAATAACCTCTGCTCTCCCCTTGCTGCAGCAGTGGAAATGTACTGGGTGCGCAGGGGCATTGCACCTGCCCAGGCCGGACTAACAGAGGATTTACAGTCCCGGGCTTGCCAAGCCAGGAACGCCTCTTGACCAAAAGACTCACTGAAAGAAAGAAAAGCAAAAGCAAAATTGGTATTTGCTACGTTCCTGCCAAATAACCGGAGAAATGCAGACACGTTTTTCACTTCGCTTACAAAATAAAAATCTAACTTTGTTTGGACAGCACAATGGGGCTAAAGAGAAACCCGAGCAGTACTTTTTGAAGAGGAACCTGTCAAAATAGTACCTGTGTTGCAAAGCCAGACAGTGTTTACTTTCCACTCCATGCAAAAAAAATACAGGGGAGAGAGGTGGGCTCATTTTACTTGGGCAGTTCTCGCTAATTTTATTAAAAATCTCCTGCTTAAATGATCGTTTGTCACCAGGAAAAATAACCCCTTCCAGTTTTGAGTTTTATGAGGAAGCCATTCCAAAAAAAACTTTTGTGCCAAAACCATCTTTGGAATAAACCCAACCGATTTCGGTTGATGACTACCGTAACAGCAGTTAAAAACTGGCCTCATCCAGGCAAAATAACAGACTTTTTCCTTTCTTTAAGAAAGCCCAGGCACGCAGAGCAGCCTGCTCAGGAGCTGGGCGGAGGGGATGCTACAGGATCCACCTCCCTCCTTTCAAACCCGTTACCGCCTCGTAACGATGGAAACCGCAGCAGCGAGTTATCCATAGCTTTGGTCCCGAGTCTCTTTAGCTCTAAGTGTCTAACTGGCATCGAGGACACTTAGCAAACGCGCGGGCGTTGGGAGCACTTGGTAGGATCAGGCTCTTTAATGGCGCGTATTCGGGATGGGACTGGGGTGGGACAGTGCTGCTGATGGCCCCAGCGCTTGCTCCAGCTGTCGGGCAGGACCTGGAGATCAGCGTGAGGGTTGTGTGCGGCATCGGGCAGGAGGTACGTACCGATGCTGTGCTCTTACCTGGACTGTGACTGTCACGGCTAACCGGGCCATCCTCTCTTCCCACATTTGGGATTGCAACGTACGGCCTAATGTTACCTCCCAGCAAGGCAACTCCTCCCGACCTCGGGAGACCCTACGCACCGATGCCAAAAAGCACTTGGGTCCCTAATGTCCCCCTGGCATGGGAAGGACATGCCCAAACCACCTGGAGATCCCAGGAGCAAATTCCCGCGGCCGGGCCCTTTCCCAGAGCCGGGTCCCAGGGGCAGCAGCCCCTGCTCCGGCTTAACCAAAAAGCCCATCCCGGGAGAGACAACCAGCTCGGCGCAGTCGGTTCAGAGCAGAAAATGAATTGGCAAACGCCAGCCGTTTGGGGCAGGAGAGAAGAACATTTGCATCAAAACGTGTGAAACGATCCCCCAGCCTGCGCAAATCACCGCCTGAGTCAGCCTCTCACCGCGGGTTTGTCTCTGATCACTCACCTTCGGGCAGAACAAACATCACGGTCGTGGCAGTCGTGCTGTTCTCTGAGCACACGCGTGACATTTTCAGGAAGGGCAATGGCACAGCGCCGGCACTCGGCGGGGCGCACAGCCCCGAAACGCAAGCGGCAGAGCCCCGACACAGCTCCCCCTC